CCTTGCGGGGTTAAATGCAGTCCGAGCTGATCATGTCCCAGGCCCTCAGCGTTCGGGGCCACATCGTGAGTAGGGACTGTCGTTGGGAGTGTACTGTGGGCAGGGACCATATCCTGTTGCACGGCTGGGGGACAAACAAACTTGGAAGGGCATAAAACATCGTGCTGTGGCTGTGTGCAAGCAGCTGGACTGTCTGCAGGAGGCATAGGAGCGGATGTATTCGTTTGGGACAACGGAACCGCAACACCCCGTGGAGGAGGCACAGTGAGAATTGGGGTAGACAAAGCAGCAGGCCGCTGATCCCTAGTCAAGTGGCGATGTTGTGCATGTCGTCGACGATGATACACAATAAGAGGAGTGGCAAAGTTTCTAACAGAAGATGTCACTGGCAATGAAGGCAGAACAATGGGACGAATAGAAACCGGAGAATCGGTTCTCAAACGAGACTGTGGAGGAGATCGGGGTGGCGAGGAGGAACGCAGCCGTCTGCGGCCAAGCACAGAAAGGGATGAAAGGGGGGTGGATTCGGCAAGATGTCGGAACATAGGACGCGAGTGTCGGGCTGGGGTAGAGGAAGCTATACCAGTAAAAACTATAGCATGAGAAATTCGAGGTACAGAAGCAGAGGAAGTGGTTAAAAGTGGAACCGCAGCAGAGACAAGTGTTGTASTAGGAACCGCGGCAGAGGCAACTTCCGTAGCAGGGACCGCAGCGGAGGCAACTTCCGTAGCAGAAACTGCTGAAGTGAAACCCGGAGTTGAAACAGCAGCAGTAGAAAATGCAGCAGTGGAGACCACAGCGGCAGCAAYAGTAGAAACTGCAGCAGTGGAGACCACAGCGGTGGAAGCGGCGGTGGTGAGAACCGCAACAGTGGGAATTGCATTAGCAGCAGATGAACAAGCAATGACAGGACGAGCARCGGAGGCAACTTCCGTAGCAGAAACTGCTGGAGTGAAACCCGGAGTTGAAACAGCWGCAGTAGAAACTGCAGCAGTGGAGACCACAGCGGTGGTAGCGGCGGCGGTGGGAACCGCAACAGTAGGAACTGCATTAGCAGCAGGTGAACAAGCAGTGACAGGACGAGCGCGATGTGGGGATAAAGAAGAAAGTGGGTGATGCAAGGACCATCGCAGCATGCGTCGGAACCACTTAGAGAGACGGGTGACATGTGTAGGATAGCGACGTTGGCGGGAGCRTGTGTAGCAGGTCCATCCTTTAGCGAGGGTTGGTGGGGAATGACCACGAGAAAGCATGCGACGAGTGAGTGTTGTCGCTGCAGTTCAGAAGTCCCGCCAATTATTGCAGATGCGTTCAAATCTGGTCAATTGCCCAGTGAACACATCTGCCGGTTGATGGGAAGGGATGTTGGAGGTRGCACTTGGATAGCGAATAACAGGGAAATCCCAAGCAGCCGCTTTATCAAACACGCTCATGCGAAGCGAACCATGAGAACRTACTCATAGATGCATACCTAAAAAGGTACACGAGCCATCTGTAGCCGTAGTTTCTTTCCTCTCAAGCCCATAGTGCTCTGAAGGAGGAGGTAATTGCCCCCATGAAAGAACATCATCAATGAGGCGGTAAGTGAAGGCGTATCGCTGAGCAGCTT